GGGTACAGCCAGCAGTAGAATACTTGCCTCGCATCACAAATCCCTGGGTTCTAGCCCTAGCATAGAAAAAAAAAGAGGAAAATATACATGAAAGTAAAGAATATATTGCTTAGAAAACTGTTCCATCACCAGGAATAGTGGTCCATATCTATAATCCCAGCTACTTGGGAGGCAGAGATCAGGAGGATTGCAGTTTGAGGTCAGCACAAGCAAAAAGTTAATGAGACCCCATCTCAATCAATAAGCCAGGAATGGTGGTCCCATCTGTGTTCCTACCTATGTGGGAGACTATAGATAAGAGGATCACAGTCAGAGGTCAGTCCAAAGCAAAAACACAAGACCCTACCTGAAAAATAACTAAAAAGCCAAAAAGGACTTGGGGTGGGGAGGTGGTGGCTCAGGTAGTAAGCGCCTGCGTAGCAAGCATGAGTCCTTGAATTGAAACCCCAGTGCCACCAAAGGGGAAAAAAACAACAAAAACTGTTTCATCATCTTACATATTGCCCAATGATGATCTTTAGTATGAAAAACATATGATTGTATAATATATCAAAATTTACATTTCATATTAGGAAATAACATCTTTGATTAAAATATTAGGCATGTAAACCAACATTAAGGTCTATCTAAGAATTAAAACAAGAGCAAAATAAAAACTTGCAAACTTGCTTACTGTGCTTTGTTTCAATTAACTAATATTAGGTCTTCAGATACAACAAACCCATGCAGACATTGCTAACAAGGAGGTTGATACAGACAATATAGAACATGACCTTAAGCTCTGCCTATTGAGGAAATGAGTGATCTGTTTTCATTTTGAGATATCAAAAGGGGTATCAGTTGTTTACATGATGAGGATTTAACACTTTTTAAATTCTGGTCTTAAACATAACCGCCCAAGGGGTAGTGAAGGAAGATCTTTGTACGGATGAACTCTGTGCATTTGATTGACAACAGGAAATTACGCATGTGACAAGCGACACAGATCTACACACATACATTGTACTCACATCAATTTCCATATTTTATTACAGTTATATAAAGTGTAACCCCTGGGGGAAAGACACATAGGATCTCTCTGAACCATTTTGCAAATTCTCTGAGAGTCTATAATTATTTTAAAATGCAAAGGCATTATAAAATAAAAAATGTACCTTAAAAAAGTATCTCTGATCATGCAGGCACTATGACATATAAGCTTGAATGCCACTCTATCACTGGTTTTTACCTGTTTTAATAAAATAAAGTGTTTCCTAAAAATTATAAAAAAGCAGCATAGCCAAGGAATATAATCTCATTAAAGAAGATGGGCAAAGTGGTAAGAAGAAATGACTGCATAAAAAGACAAAGGCAGAGAATTAAACAATAAAGAGTGGAGCTTTTATTTCTTTTTAATACTTGCTATCAAATGTGCACTTGCTAAAACCCTGTAAATGGAAGTTTAGGTGGAAAAAAGTGACTTTGCACAGGGTGAGAACACTGTATTTCAAATTAACAGGTTTGTCAGAGGGCTGACAGACTTACAATTTACATGGATTTAAATTTTTTCTTGTGCCACCTGACAGAAGGGGGAAGAAGCACCTCGGGTTTTAAAAGCTCATGATTTAAAGCAGAAATAGAAGGCTACGAAGAAAGCCGTGTGGCAGAAAGAAAGACTCAATGATGACCACAGGGAACACTATCCTCTCTAATCGATATAGAATTATGTAATGCAAAGGTGTTAAATAATTATGCAATCTTGGATTCATTACAAAAACATATATCATGCACATATGAATAAATGAATAAAGAAAAATAAAGCATACATCAGATGGACTACTGAGACCAGAACACAACAAAATACATGGATTTACATTCAGGCCAGGACAAACATATTGATTCTTTTAGCCTTTTATTTAGAAAGTGTATTCATTTTCATTTTTAATGAATAAATATCATTTACTTCATCTAAAAATGCCTTCCTGGCTGCAACATGTCGCTAAGATGTAACCCATGTGGTTTAAAGGTGCTTGTAATTCTTGCTGCCCACCCCCTTAAGTTTCCCCCAGCCTGACACCAACTGACCTCGTCCACTGGTAGTGTCAAGTCCACCTGCCTTCAGAGCCTAGGTCAGTTCCAGTTCACCAGTAATGGCTTCCTTGGTCACCTACTCCTCAGTGACTGGCTCCTCTGTTGAATGAATGCCTATGTAGCCTACAAATTCCATTTGAGATCTAATCTATCCAGTGCTACTAGCTCTTTTTTTTTTTTTATAATTATGAACTGGATTTTAACACCTTCAGGAACAACAGCCATCTTTTATTTACCCAAAACCTAGCATAAGAGACTTCTCAAAAATATACCCTAGTCCTACATTGGCTTAGCCCTACTAAGTTGCTCTGGTATAGTATTCCAGTATGCAAAAATAACTAAATATTGACATGTAATTTCATGATTGCTATCTTTTCAAGCTCTATGTTATCAGAAAAACTGAAACACTTGTAATGACGTCATTCAAGTCTCTAATGAAATAGTGAACAGACACCTAAGAGCTGACAAAAGTTAAACCCAATCATTTAAGGCAGAGCTCTTAAACTGGGCACCAGTGACTTATGCCTGTAATCCTAGCCACACAGGAAGCAGAGATCAGGAGGGTTGTGGTTCACAGTCAGCCTAAGCAAAGAGTTTGTGAGACCCTATCTCAAAAAAAAACTCTTCACAAAAAAGGACTGATGGATTAACTCAAGGTGTAGGCCCTGAGCTCAAACCTCAATACTGAAAAAAAAAAGTGTAGCTCTTCCAATGATTCAAACTAAAAGGGAATATACAGCTAGTGGAATAGTAGGGAAGAATGATCAAAAGCTTTACCAAAAGTAAGGTAATCTAAGTCTATGATACTCACTTCCCTTACCAGAGTAATTCTGTCATGACTATTTCCTGATCACCAGTTGTTCCAGCCAGCTATTGCACTCCTATTTAAAAATTTGCGAATCATTTATTTAAAGATCTGAGTGTAATTTCTTTTTAAATCTCCAGAATGCTTTTACTTACTAGAATCTTCTAGGATCTTTCTGGTTCTCCATAATTTCTAAAGATAACGTCTCTGAGAGCACCCTTGCCAGTTCTCCCCAAGAGCCTCCGAGGCACACAGCCTTGCTAACGTCTTGACTTTAACTCAGGAAGACCCATTCTGTATCGTTACCTCCACAACTATAGCATAATAAATCTGGGTAAACTTAAACTACCAAGATTGTGGTCATTTTTTATAGCAGCAATAGCAAACTAATCAGTCCCTAATTAAAAGCATCTTGGCCAGCTGGAGGTACGACTCAAGTCTGCCTAGTAAGCACCCAGCCTTGAGTTCAAACCCCAGTACTGCCAAAAACAAAAAAGCAATATATATATATATAAAGCATCTCAGACCATAAGGAAGTGAACCATGTCAACAGTCACATGAATGGACTATTCTAAGTCCATCTCCACTGGAGCCTTTAGATGACTATAGCCCTGGTCAACACCTGAGTGCAGCCTGGGGGACCCATGAAGCACAGTCCCCCCAGATTTCTGACACACTAAAGCTCTGATAGTAAACATTAGTGCTTTAATCCACTAAGTTTTGGAATGATTATTTTACACAGCAACATATAAGTATTATGGTAAAGAGATGCCTTAAAAAAAAAAAGCAGGGTGGGAAGGAGGGACTGCAGAAGTGGGTTTCAATTTTAAGAATTTTAAGATATTACAAAGGCTTGCACATGAATGTTTATAACAGCAATAGTCATAAAAGTCAAAAAGTGGAAACAAGTGAAACGTCCATCAATTGGTAAACTGGATAAACAAACAAAATACGGTACATCTAGCCAATGGAATATTATTCAGCCATAAGGAGAAACGCTGTACTGGTGGTACAACATGCATGGATCTCAAACACATGATGCTAAGTGACGGAAACCATCACAAAACACCAAATAGTGCATGATCCCATTATACGAAATGCTCAGAAAAGAAAAGCTATAAAGATGGAAAATAGTTTGGTGGTTGCCAAGAGCTGTAGGTGAAGCTGGATTAACTGTAAACGGGCACGAAACATCTTACTGGGGTGATGGAAGTATGCTAACTAGATCACTATGGTGATTACTCAAATGGACAAACTTATTAAGTGTAAAATAAAAACAAGTAAATTTACGGTGTGCAAATTACCTCTAAAAGGTTGTCTTAACAAAGGTCAGGGGAGTTAACGGGCATGACTGAAAACAGAAATTTGAAGGAAGTGTATTTAGCCAGGGGAAACCTCCTAGACCACAGAGGCTTATGCAAAGACCCTAGGGCAGGAGCAGTCTGGGATGTCTGTAGCACAGCAAAGGTGCCAGGGCGGCAGGAGCTGAATGGAGAGGCAGACTGAGCAGAGCAATGATGGATAGAGGGTGATGTTTCAGTAGTCAGACACTTTTGCACTACTGGAAGAACTTCGAAAAAAGACAAAAAAGAGAGGCTTATGAGAATTCTGGGCAGAGGAGTGATGAAGACCTGATTTACATTGCAAAAGGATCATACAATACAAACAAATTATTAAAAGGAACAATATAAGGTTCCATATAGCTAGCTGCCTCCAGAGCTGCTGACCTCTGTTATCTGACTGGGGTACTAGAGAAGCCCCTCTCACAAAGGGAGGGGAAACCTGTTAGCTCCCCAAAATGTGTCCTGCCAGTTACCCTCATCAGAGCCTACATAGAGGCCTATAACACAGGTGAGGCCTCAAGCTTCACCCCCCAACTTCTGAATATGGGGGAGCTTGTCAGCTTTCATGACACTGAATTTTACAGACTTCTCAAAAAACAATAAACCAGATAAACATCAAGATTCCGTTCAAACTCCAAATTATGAGAAAGTACATAAACTACCTAAAAACCATATTTACCTAAAAAAATATTTAGGGTTGACTATAAACAAACTTATCTCTGCATTGGCTATTTTATTTCATTACAGATGAAGTGACTGTCCCCAGTCTGTTAACACCTTACCCAGTTGTTTTTCTTCCCGGCATAAATTTCCATGTTCTCTCCGTACTGAGGCTCTTCCAGGAGAGTCTGGTACTCAAACATAAGGCGTGAGCTCTCACGGAGGCGGCTGCATTGAAACTGGTGGTACTGCTGCACGAGCTCCTTCACCACAAGCAGGAGGCACTCTGGGTTTGCAGGGTTCCAGGAGGCAAGGTTCTGCGGAGCCACAAGTAAGGACCAGTGAGAAAGAACTTTCCTACAAGTCCTGCATCACATTCATACACCAGTACAGAGGAAAAGAGTAATAAAATTCCAAAAGAGCAACAGATTATTCCTGATCACCTGAGGGCCCAGAGACAAAGTTAGAAGGGTCTTGTGACTCGGTGATTCCTCCTGCCTTCTAAAAATCCACACAGGAAAAATCAAGCAAGAATTCCGTCATGAACAGGCAGAAACAGTGAAACGGACAGCAGGTTAGTAACAAAACAAAAAACTTCAGTATCCACAAAGACTGTAAATTTAGCCCCAGAACACTGAATTTGTTTCTTATTCTTTTACAACTTGAACTTTTATTTTAATCGTACCTAAATTCAGCATTAGATGCTATAGTAATTTAGCTCCAGATACACACTACTGCATCTATCTGCATCTGTAATACCAAATGTAAATACATACCCTTAAAACAATCGAGTTCTAAGTGCTATTGCACAACGGGGCCTGGAAAAGACAGGAATGGAATAGAGACAAAAGAAAATACAATTAGGAAATGCAAGATTCAGAGAAAAAAAGGAAGGACAGAGCTGTGAAATCTTATGACCAAGAAAGCTGCTAAAATGGGAGATCTGGTGGCGTACAGTAGTTGTTAAACTCACATTTTTTCATTCTACAAATATGTATTGATACCTATTATGTACAGCCACTGTTCTAGGAAGTGAGGAAAACAAGTCCCTGCTCTCCAGAGCTTACATTTCAATGGTACAAAACAAACAAACAATAAGTAAACAAACCCGATGGTGGTAAATGCTACTGAGAAAAATACAGCATACATTCTAGAAACCCAGTGGCCATCTGTATCAAATGACACTGATGAGCAAGACCAAGCTGAGAATTCCCTACTGAGTCTAGTACATGTGGTAAGTAGTGTCCTCAACAAGTACTACTTTGGAGGAGAAAAGCTTGATTGTTAGGGCTGGGATTCTGTTTCTTTGTTTTGCAGTACTGGGGATTGAACAAAGGATCTCAGGCTTCCTAGGCAAGTGCTCTACCACTTAAGCTATGCCCTCAGCTCTTGATTATCATGTCTAGGAGAAAGTGCACAGAAATAAATTATAGACAGCTAGCACAGACAATTCAAATGTGGAACTAGAGAGTAACATGGGTTCAAGGGAAAGTTTTGTGTGGATGTTTAAAGCCTGAAGAAATGTTGCTGCAGAGAAAGGGAAACTGATGATACAAGAGAAAGTGTACAGAATTACCAGGACAAAGTAGGCAGGTAGGGATCAAATCTCCAAGAGGGCTGGCCTTAGAAATGAGCACAAGTCCATAGGAAGCCAAAGAAAAGCCAACTAAATGTCCACGAATGCAGGCAGAACACCATGAGGCAGTGGGAACTTGCTACAGCTCTCTTCTGACAGCTTACATTTTCTCCATGGCATTGGAAAGAATGTGTTCATCTGAGAGTGAGGAAGGAGGGAAGATTGAAAGTTTGAGACAAAAGTATGAAAAAGAGTCATTGAAAAGAGCCTCTAGAAAAGCAAATTAACAGGGAAATTCAGTAGGAATTCCAGATACACCCAAAGCCCCACTGAGGTCAGAGGTGTGATTTTTTTGACCATGCTAGACAAGCACTATGCCATTGAACCATACCTCTAAGCTCTGGAGGTGTGACTTTTTTTTTAAAGTGAGATTAATTAACCTCCATTCCACTGTGGAGTAGGGGAAGATTTGGATCTAACCAAGGCTGGAATTTTTGCCAGACAAGTAAAACTGAGAGAAAGATGGGCAAGAGCTCTTAAGTGGGTTTGTAAAAGAATGACTATAATTACGAACCACGGACACTGAGCTACAAACAAGCCAAGTCCATAAGAGAAGAAAGTGTTAATGAAAAGCCAGTATGGAAGAACTGCTGGAGTTGAGACATGACAACTCCATGAACAAGAGAGGCAGGAGGGTGTTATCAGAGCAGAGCGTGTTTGCATCTGGAGATGATGGGCGATATGTCTGTAACTAGTACTGAAAAGGTCAGGGTGTACACAGCTAAGATCACTGGAGGACAGGAAGTCAGGGACTACATCATCAGAAGGATCATTTATATGGACCTATAATATCACTCAGAATCATTGCAAGAGCAATGCTGAGAGGATGACCTTCAGCCATCTGCTAAAATCCTCAATGAATAGGGAGGAGGATTAAAAAAGGAGCAGTAGGCCCTAGAGTCTGTTTGGTGCAAATTTTACACCAAGGGTACAGGGTGAAGGGAAAGGAAATGACAATCTCTTTAACAACACCACTGAAAAGCAAAGCAATACCTACCCCATCTCTAAGCAAAGAGGTCATAGGGTAGGAAAGAAATCAGCTGCCATATATCTGAGAAGCAAGCAGGGAGTCAGAATCTCAGGGCAGAAAGAAAGTCAGGCTTCAGAATGGTGGTTCTCCACTTCCCAACAAAATCACCCAGAGAGCTTTAAGGATGCCTGGACTCTACCCACCCTGCCCTCAGATTTTGATTTAATTGGGTTAATCAGGAATGTGTCTTGGGTGCTGGGGTCTTTTTTTTCTAAAAGCTCCCCAGGTGATTCTATCCTGCAGCAAAGGCTGAGAAACACCAACCTGTTATAGGAGCTTTTGTATGTACAAGTTGAATGGGTTAATATTTGCATTGATTTTTACTGTATTAAAATTAAAAATAGAAAAATTTCAAAATATTTAATTTATTTTACAGTAACAAACTTACTACATGTTAATATGAAAAACATTTTAATAAAATATCTTTTTTCTAAAGTGAGAAGTATGGCATTGTTTTGCATTCTTACAAGTCCCTTTAATGTCTGGTTTAATGAAACAGTTAGATTCTCATATCTGTTTCTGCATTCAGTCTGCTGCAATATGTTATTCGGCTGAAGTATATGAAGAAAATCCAGTCTTAACCAAACATGTAACAGGTGTTTTAAAGGCCTTTCCAAATGACTTGATACCACACCAAAACTCACAAGAGAAAGCAGGTACACAACAGCTGTAGGCCTAGCAACTTGGGAGCCTGATACAGGCGGGATCTCCTGAGTCCAGGAGTTCAGGGCCAGCTTGGGCAACGTGACAAAACAAAACTACACAGAACAAAGTTCCACAGGTAGCAATTTCTTAAAGGCTAGTTGCAATGTGGAAGAGTAAATCATGTTAATAAACATTTAATAAACTCTTATATTAAATTTCATTCATCTACTGTGTCCTTTAAGTGGATGCATCTTTTACTCATGTATGATTTTGTACATCACACATTGGTAATTTAGAAAATACTGATTCACTGAATCATGCAGATCTTCCCAACGCTGACAAATTTCATTCAGCTAATATTTTTAAATCACATTCATTAATATCCTCATCAATCTTATCACAAAAGTCTCTTAACAGTGTAAAAATATCAACCTAAGGGCAGTAAAAACAACTTTTCAAATTTGTTAGTTTTCACTTGAAGGCTAGAATCTTATCATTGGCAACAAATACCCAGTTGTTTTCCATAAAGTGATAAGCTCACTTTGTCTGTTTTTGAGAAAATGTCTGCTAAATACCCACATCTGAATAGCTATGGTTCATCCACCAATCATTCTTCCAAGGTAAAAGATGAATCCAAGAAAAAAGCAGCTTGTTCAACTTACAACTCAAACAATCACACTAATGATTCTCCTTGGAACAACTGTCATCCTTCAGTATGCAGAAGTCTTCCATGTATAGTTCTCACTTTGTCACACAGAATGTTGAAAAGATGCATCCTCAGGGTTGGAACTTCATAATTTCATAATTTTTCTAACTCCATCAAGGACATTTTTAAATGAACTGGCATTGTTTTATTGAGAATGTGTGACAGTGGAGAACACAATGACTACTGGTACATTTGATGCCACTGCCTTGATTAATGCTAAGGCATCAGTGGTACCCACCACCACTTCCTATAGTGTAAGAGCAAACTTCAGCAAAGTAAAAAAAGAAAGGTTGGAGGGAGAGTTACATCTTCAAATGATTAGGAAAATAATTTTTACTTACAGGGCTCTGAAAGGAACCTGAAGATCACACTTTTACAATCATCACACTACATAATATTCACTTAAAGACAAACTAAGCATGGCTTCTATAAAAAGAATCCAAACAAAAAGAAACATATTTGGGAAAAGGATAGCAATGCCCTCCATAGCTGTGGTTTCAATATCCACAGATTCAACCAATTGCAGATTGAAAACATTGAGAGAAGAAATTGCATCTGTGCTGACTATGTACATTTTTCCTTGTCATTCTCTAAACAATATCCTATAACAACTATTTACATAATATTAGGTATTCTAAGCAATCTAGAGATAATTTAAAATATGAGGGAGGATGTGACTAGATTGCTACAAATACTCCACCATTTGAGCAACGGACTTAAGTACTGCAGATTTTGGTATCCATGGGGTCTCTTGGAACCAATGGTGACAGCATGGGACGACTATACTTTGCTCTATTGAGTGGGTTGATTTATAAGGAATAAATGACAGTGGGGAAAGCATTAAGCGCTCCTTCAGGGAGAGGAAGGACAGACCTTAATAGATGTTCAAATAAACACTTGACAAACTGAGGAAAGGCGAGAGCTTCAGCATCATACAATGACTCAAAGAAGTATCTTGATACAAAAGTGATTTGATGAGAAGAACTCGGAGTCCTCCCTGGCAAACCTCTTCACCTTGATAGCTTGAAATCCTTCTAAGTTACTCAAGAGAACATTTGAAGTCTTAATAGGCTGTAACAACATAGTACAGAACTTAAAATGATCATTATATAGCTCCCTATGCATTCCTTCAGAGATCAATAAACATTTATAAATAGGAAAAATATACAGTATTTCACTTCTTAGTCAAGTATTCCTTTGCTATACTACTAGAACAAAAGGAAAGGCTTTTGGTTATCTTGATTTATATTTTTTAAATTCTATCGCTTTCTCTTCAGCTGCTTGGCAAGCTTCAAGCTAT